GACGCCGACTCCTTCCGTTGGCTTTGCCAGACATTCGGACGCCCCGAGGTGGACCTCTTCGTGTCAGCTTGGTCTCGGTGCCTTCCCCAGTATGTGGCTCCCTTCCACATGCCTTCCGGCAGGACTGGTTGAGGTGGGGGTTCCTTTACCTCTTTCCCCCAGTTCTGCTGTTGCTTCTCGTCCTGACTCGCTTGGAGACTCTCGCTTGGAGAGTTGTCCTCTTGGCCCAATGGTGGCCTGCCCAGCCGTGGTTTCAGGCGCTGCTTGCTCAGTGTCCGAACCCGGATGTTTTCCTACGCCTCCACCTCTTCCAGCAGTTCGGACTGGTGCGTCACGTGGCTGGTTCGATCTTCTCCTCGAGTCTTGTGTATGGTATTTTTGACTCGAGTTTATCATCTCGATGGTGATCAGGTGGCTTCCTTGTTAGTGTCCCACCTGCAGGCTTCGTCTTGGCGGCAGTATGAAGTTTCCTGACGGTCCTTCCGGTTCTTCTTGCGTCTTCGTCGTTGTACTTTGCTTTCGGTTAGAGTGGTATTGTCCTTTCTCTCTTGGTTGTTCCAGGGGCGTCTCCTTATGCCTAACACTGTCACCTCGTATCATGCGGCGCTGGCGGAGCCGCTTCAGCTTGCTTTCGGTATTGATGTTACGTCTGCGCCGTCTTGCAAGCTATCTCGGACGTTGTTTCACCTCCGGCCTGCTCATGTGCCGCCTGAGCCGTCCTGGTCATTGGAAAGAGTGCTCTTATCTTTCTTCTCTTCGGTTTGTTGTGACCCCTTCGGTTCAGGATTGTTTTTTCCAAGGTTCTTTTTTCTGTTGGTATTGGTCTCAGGGGGTCTGGTTGGTGAGCTTCATGCTCTCCTGGCACAGGGGTTTCTGCTCTTTCGGTCGGGGCGATCGATTTGTTCGTCTGCAGCCTTCTCCTTCTTTTCTGGCAAAGAATGAGACTGCTGCTTTCTGGAGGGGTCCCTGGGTTGTTGATGCTTGGTTGGTTAGGCCTGTGGTGCATCATGTTTAGTGTCTGGTTTTGGCTCTCCACCGTTATTTGCGCGCCACGGCTTCTGTGTCCTTGGACGCGCTTTGGGTTGATCCGGTTTCCCTTCTCTGTTTGTGAGTGCGGGTCTCCCAGGTTGTCCACAGGGTTATTAATTAACACTTTCGCGCTATCTGGACGCACCGGCGCGTTCGGTTTCGTCTAACGTAAACGCATAGTGGACATAAAGTTATGTCAACTTTTAAAATATTTGTATAAAATTCAATTTTAATCCGATTTCATTGGGGTTTGTTTCAAACGACGCGCCATGAAGTTCTCTTTCTCACCACTAGGCCGCCTGGCGCGTCGGCCTACCTGGTCACGTGACGGGCCCATTGTTTTCGTGTCACGTGTCGTGAGTCGATCACGCTCCCCTCACGCGCCAAACTCGAGCATTTTTACCCGTTTCCGTGTGGATTATACCCAATTACTTCATCAAAAATGGATCAAGGTCAAGGCCCAAGCACTTCTACGCCCAAGGAAGCCTCCAGGTCATCGAGAGTGGACAAAATAACCCAAATTTTTAAGAAGTGGAGCGGAGTGAAGCTCACACCAACGAAAATTCCAGGCCTTGTGGAGGATTTATCAGAAGCTGAAGGTGATGTAGAGGTATTGGAGGAAGATTTTGGAATCCACAACGATTATAGTGTACCTAGAGCTAGAGGGAATGATACGGCAACGAGTGATGAGGAGACTGAGGCCCTCACCGAGGAAGAGGAGGCACCGCGACCCCCTCCTCCTCCTCCTCCATCTCGGCGCACACGTGGTGCATCTAGGCTACCTAGAAAAGTTGCTACCAGACATGTTACTCGTCGTAGGAACACACGACAAGTTGCGCCAAGTGATTCTGAAAGTATAAGTGATGAGGAAAGTGATGAGGATTCATTCAAGCCTGCTGAAAGGCGTACACGTATAGTACGTACTCGGCAGGCTGGGGCTGGTGAGGGCTGGAGTCGTAGCAATACTTCTCCAGTTCTTGATGATTTTACTGGAGATCCTGGACTGAAAATTCCCAAGCCTACTAGTGCACTGGCTTATATTCAATTGTTCATCACGCGTGCCCTCCTTGAGTTCTTTACCGTTGAAACAAATTTGTACGCCTCGCAGTTATTCCGGATGGCCAATGAAAATGTATCAGATATTTGGACCCCAGTGAAGGCGAGTAAAATGGCGCGATTCCTAGGACTGTTCATATTGATGGGCATAATTAGGCTCCCAACTATGAGGATGTATTGGCAAACAGCAAAGCCATGGCATGCTCGTTTCTTCAGCTTGTTCATGCCGTCCAGACGATTCCAGCATATAAACCAGTTTTTCCACACATTCAATACCAATGCAGTGCCCGTGAACAATCGTGATAAGTTGATAAAAGTGAGACCAGTGATGGATTACTTGAAAGAGAGGTTTGCTCAAGTTTACATCCCCAAGAAAGAGTTGTGTTTGGATGAGGGTACAATGGCATGGCGAGGCCGACTATCCTTCAAAGTGTACAATCCAAACAAACCAGACAAGTATGGTGTGAAACTTTATATGCTTGCTGAATCTGTCTCTGGGTACATATATGACTTTGACGTATACTCAGGTATTGGTAAGACGATAGTGGATACAGTAACGGGGTTGATGCAGCCTTTAGTGAACCAGGGTTACCATTTGTACATGGATAATTACTACAACTCGGTTACCCTGACAGAAACATTGAGAGAACTTGGGGTGTACACATGTGGCACAATTAGAATGCTACGTGGCGCCCGAAAGGTATTGCAAGCTCTAGCCAAGGGTAAACTTCCACTGGATACCACAGTATACCGCCGCAAAGATAATACCTTCATTCTCCTGTGGAAAGACAAGCGAGTGGTTTCAATCATTACCAACATCCACAATGCAGATACTCAGCGAGTTCAGCGAAGGAAGCGAATTCGCAACCGAGACGGAACAAGTGGAATACAACAGGTAACAGTGAACAAACCGACTGCAATTTGCGAGTACAATAAGTTCATGAAAGGTGTGGACCACTTCGATCAAATGGTTAAATATTACCATTTTACCAGGAAAACTCACAAGTGGACCAAAAAGATTACCTTTTATTTCCTGCAAATGGCATTGCATAATGCCTATGTTTTGTACAAATACAACACAACTGATCGAAAAAAGCTAACATTGCTACAGTTCCACGAAGTGGCAATCTGGGCCCTATTGCACTGGGACACAGAGGAGTGGCCTAAAACATCATCATCATCTCAACACTTGCGGCACGCTCCAGACATAAATGATGACACAGCTCCTGCCAATGCTGACGCCATGCCAACTCCCGGACCATCTGGTGTGAGGCGGCCTTTGTTCACTACACCACCTCAAGATGAAGCAGACAACGAATCTGAACCCGACATGTCTGCCACACTGCCAGTTGACGAAACTGTTTTGTCAGATGAATCTGACTCTCCTGCAACTCCTGTTACACCTCCAGCGAGAGGACCTGGCCGCCCTATTGTTGATTCAGAAAATCGCATGAACTACAAACTGAAACATGAAATTTACAGACTGCCCAAACGTCTCAAGTGTCATGCATGCGCACGGTCCGGTAAAAGGAAGGACACGAACTATGGATGCAAGACCTGTGGTGTTGCACTCTGTGTTGTTCCCTGCTACACCAATTACCACCGGAAACAGGTGTATTGGGTGGTGAAGAAGTAACCACCCGCAACAGCTTCACTCCACCTACAAACCATCTGTTGAGCAACTTCAGGAATGAAGAACCTGAAGAAGGTGGAGTGAAGAACAAATGCTCAACTTACTGTTCCACAACCAGCCTTCCCTTGGTAAGTACACCTATTTGGTCCAAGTTTGTGTAGTATAATTTAGCTCATAGAACATTCTATTGCAAAAACATTGCCACAAAAATGAATGACATACATACAATAATAATATCAGAACAGTGAAATAAGTATAAACTTTCAAAGCAACGTTTCGCGCGTGTGTCGTCCGGTCACCGTTACCGGGTAACAGTGCGCCCACTTCCCACACTCTTGCGGGTGGGCCGGGACCATTATTCTACGATTATATTCATATCACCGTGTTGGGAATTTTATTGGGAGTCCATTGATACCAAAATTAAGGCTGTAGGACAATTGTAGAGGTGATAATAATCCCAAGAGTGAAAACATTTTGTTGCTGTTGAGCGCTCACGGCGACTCATCTTCGTAGTTATTTATTTCATGCTGGTATCTCTATAGCTTTCGTGACTTTTTTTACTGATGTTCTTCTAGGGAATTTTATTGCGAACACGTTGATACCAAAATGAAATACGTAGCATGAAAACGTAGCATAGGTCAGAAAAGTAAAAAGAGTATACACATTTTTGTTTTTACGCTTAAGCGATAAAAACGCCGCGCGCACATACGGTTGGCTGAGTGACCTTCGCCGAGAGCGCGAAAGTGTTAAGGCTAGCCAGCCTGCAGTCTATCCCCGTGCCCATGACATTTGCAAGTTCATGGCTTTTGCCACTGTCTTTGGTAATATGTCTTGGGCTGACATTAGTGCGCGGGGATTTTGGCAGTCGAACAGGGTCCTGGCTGCTCATTACCTTGGGTAATGTGTCCAACATTATTAATGTGTCCTCAGTGGGCCCAAAGAACTCCATACACATGACTGATGCCAAAGTCTGACGTTAGCATATCAGCCTGGATAGCTCCGGGGAGCCTCTGGGTCTCGCCCAGAAAATGATGTTCCATTACATTTATCGCTGGTTTTTTGCCCATACATATACGTGAAATAAAACTGGATTGCTCTTAAAAATGCTCAATATTTTCATAAACTTTAATGTTATTTCTAAGTACTTTTTTTTTTTTGCATCTGTGTTCTTTTTCTATCTTGAATTTTATTACAGTATAATTTGTCTTGTTTTTCCTCCTGGAACTTCCCTTACCTTGAGGGAGCATAATTTTCTATTTGCTTACATCTCTCTTGTTTTCAGTCAAGTCCAGCACTGAGTGAGAGAGCGCCACCAGAAGGCCAAGAAGACCCACCATTACACCAGTCCATTATTAGCTTGGCTCCTAACATTAACAATAATAATAGTGTTAATGATGATAGCAATAACAACAATCATAGCGATGAGAACCGTAGCCGTGATGTGGGCGACGACGCAACAGAGACAGAAGAGGGTACCAAAGACCAAACACAAGGGGAGAAACAGATTGGTTGCTTTTCACAACAAAATGGTATAATTGATGGTGTTAGATGGGAGGAGTTGACAATGATTGGGCAGAAAATGCTTGAGGAAGGCAGTGTTGAGGGAAAAGATATTGATGCTCGGTTACTAACACTTCACAGAAATCAAGGAAATGTTGGAAACCAAGACCACTTAGTTACAGGCACTAGGCCTAAACAGCGGCTGGGTGCTGTTCTCAAAACTGAACCTCAGAATTGCCAAACAGTGAATGATTCAGACAGAGTACCTCGCAGAGAGAGAAAGTCTTGTAGAAAGTGCCCAAACCAGGAAGAAAGGAAGTGGTTGTACAATCATAGTTACAGGACAGACAGACAGCTACCCAGTCTCTACATACCTCTTAAAGTGGATTCATCTAAATTCAAGGAAGAGGTATGACTTTATAATCTCATATTAATTTGTATTTAAGGCTCCTTATACCCTCAAAAAATTTGTCCTCGTAGGGTGGTAGTAAAAGAAAGAAATTTAGACAACCATTTCTTGACATTTGTAATCCACTCCATATTTATTCTGTTCGAATGATAAGACTTTGAACATAAACGTAGCTATCACAATGTTCCTCTCACACGTAAACATTCACATTATGCCTCTACTAGTATCATCCATGATTTAAGCCTTCACTTTTCCTGCCTTTCTTCATCAATTCCACATCTGTGTATCTCACTAAGAGTTTTCTTTTGCTAGCCTTATTGCTCAAGACACCTACATGGTTCATGTGTGGCCAGAATTTTGAGTGTTGCTCTATTTCTTGTCCACATTTCATTGTGTCCTTTGTTAAATATTTTCTTTCAACCCTTCCTGAAGCATCTCCATGTTACATGCATAATCAGCTCCTTTAGTTTTCCTTCCACTGTGTTATAATGTCTTGCTATTAATGGAAACCAAAAAAGATGATCATTTTTTATGTCTTCTGCTGTATGAGCATTAAACTGTTTCATAGTTTAGACAATTTCATGTGATGGACTGTGATTTCTGAGTAATGAATATGTATTGAATTGTCATTCAAGCTATTTATAATAAAAATAAAAGTCTTCCATTATCTATTAATTAATTTTGCTAAATGTCAAATTTATCTCATGTTATTATTTTCATTATTGTGCTTTGGGCATACATGTTAAAGACCTCAACTTGTGGCTTATACTTGCAGGAGGATCGTCTTGCATTAGAAGTGGCCCAGGGTCAGTCTAATATGACTGTTCCTGGTCATATTGCTGACCCCATCACAGAACAGAGAATCTCTGCCCAGTTATTTACTGTGGCTGATGAGAAGCTTTATAGGGTGAGTAGTCTGTAATGTCTGTCGTCCATGCCAATGCGGTAATGTTACCAGATTTTGACCAACAGCAGCAAAATTCACTTGTGCCTGCATTGTTGGATAAAGCTATACAGTACCTCAAAAATAATATATGATAATTTATTGTGTTGGGGGACTGGCAGCCAGTGTATATATACATGTTAGGTCTATATAGAGGTCTAGGGGTCGAATTACTGACCCTTCCCAGGATGAAACCCCTCAACAAGCTAACTCCTGGATACCTATTTACTGCTTGGTGAACAGGGTCTATAGGATAGGAAGAGCGCCCACCCATTTTTGTCCCGCCCACGAACTTTGGTCATGGTGCCTGCATTTGGTAGGTCTTCAGGTGTTGGTCTACCATGAGGACTGGCTGGTGTGGGCTCTCGGCTAATCTGCCTGTCCGCTAACTAGGGATTTGGTTCTTTCTCAGCTCTAGCTCGCTGGGTTCTGGTTTTTTGTGAACTAATGGAAGCCCCAGTGTATTCCATCTCTGGTTTGGATCTGGTTTGGCCTGATTTAGGATTATCAGTTGGTGTTGCTTTTCCTTTCTCCTGCAGCCTTGCTCAGCCTGCAGTCCCACCTGCTGTTGGTATTGAGGGGGACCCAGGGGACTTGGGAGTTGCTCGAACAGCTGTGTAGGAAATGAATTTTGCCCTTCTCGTATACCAGTTGGGCAGGGTTTGACTTCGGAGGCTATTCTGGTACCTTTGGGGGCAGACTTTTTTTGCCACTTTCGCGATTGCTGGGTGCATCCTCCTGTGTCTCTGCACTGGTTGCGTCATCTCTACTTTCCTCTAAGGTTTTTTGGGGTATGGTGCCATGACACCTTCCCCCTCCCTCAGTTGATGTCTTCATGTCTTCACGGACGCCTTGGCCATTGGTTGGGGCTTAGTGACCAGCTCCCACCAGTCCGGCCAGGGTTGTTGGCATCCTTCCTTTCGTCGTGGACAGTATGATGCGGGAGTTTGCGGCGGTGTGGTAAGCATCATGGCTTGGTGATTCGGCTCTACTCGGATTGTTTTTCCATGGTTCATTGTCTCGACCTCTTCGATCTGTGGCTCTGGTAGCTTCTGGAAGCTCTTTTGCCGAGTTATTGGGGTTTGCATCTCCATGCTGTTCACATTCTCCATGTATCCAACATTCTTGTAGACTGTTTATCACGCTTTCTTCCTCCTCCCACGGAATGGACAGTTGATGCTGATTCCTTCCTCTGGTTTTGCCGGACATTCAGATGCCTAAACGTCGACCTCTTTGTGTAAGTGTATTTATTTTTTTTTCATGGTCCAGCTGTTGCTCTGGGTGCTGGCATGGCTGGCAATAGGGAAAGTGATTTTTATGGCTCCCTCATGGCCGGCCCAGCCTTATTTTCAAGCACTACTTGTTTGATGTCTGTACCCGGACATATTTCCATGGCTCCGCCTCTTTATCAGCAGGTCGGGTGGGTGACATACCTCACTAGTTCGAATTTCTCTTCGGCTTTATGCATCTGGACTTTTTGATGCATATTTATTGCCATTTGCATGGCAATCAGAGGTTTGGTTTAGTGGTGTCCCACCTGCAGTCTTCTCAGCGACAGTATGAGGTTTCTTGGTGTTTTTTTTTCCGTTTTCTTTCTCTTCAATGTTGTCCTTCCATTTTCCAACAGTTGTTTTGTCCTTTCTTTCTTGGATCATCTTTGATCGGCATCTGATGCCGAATATTGTCATTTTTTATCGTGTGGCGTTGGCAGGGCTGCTTCAGCTCTTGTTCAGAGTTGACGTTTCTTCGACCCTGTTTTGCACTCTTTCTCGCGCTTTCTCTCTGCAATCTTTCTTTCTTTCGCTTTTTTCGCCTTCACTCCAGCCTGCTCATGTGCCGCCTGAACCTGCCTCGTCCTTAGTCTGCGTTCCTTCTTTTCTCTCTTGCTCGTTTTCCGATGGCTCCTTCGGTCCGGGATTGGTTGGGGAAAGCTTTGTTTTTGCTTTTCTTAGCCTTCAATTGTTGGGTGGGTGGGTGAGCTTCATACTTTTCTTAGTGCCGGGGTATTGTTCTTTTAGTCCGGGTGGTTGTTTTGTTTGGTTGCAGCCGGCTCCTTGATACCTGCTTGATGAGGTTCTGGGAGTTGTTCTACTCCCCAAGCCCAGCCTGAGGCCAGGCTTGACTCCTCTTTATCTGGTGAAGAATGAGTCAGCAGGGTCGGAGAGGGTCAGAAAGAGGACCACTCTAGTAAGAGAATGCAGACGACTGTACAGGAGGAAAAAATCACAAATTCTTAAACACACGACTTGCAAAAAAAGGAAAAGAAGAAAAAAGGGAAAGGAAAAGAGCAGACGTTGAAGCAATCATACGAGTTTGAGGAAATGGAATTGGAACAAAAAGCTATACAAGTGATAAAGAAAACTCCAAAATATTTTCTCACATAGGCAAAATCAAAATAATAAACCTCCGCCAGTATTGGACCTTTAATTACAAACGAAAATTGTAATTAAAGGTCATAGCCAATATGAGGCTATGTTTAGCACACAAATAAACATGAAAGTTGAAGATCCAGACAGCTTCTTTATGAATGACATCCATGCTGTAGATAATGTAATGGATATTAACACGAACTCGGAAGACTTTGAAAGAGAAATTGACAACATGTCCATGCACTCAGCTCCTGGGCCTGACTCATGGAATTCAATATTCATAAAGAAATGTTAAGTCAATATTCATAGAGATGTCAGTATTCATAAAGAAAGAAATGTTAAATACCAGTAGCACGAGCGTTCAGTGTAATATAGAGAAAGAACCTAGATACAGGGAAGATACCAGCAGCACTTAAATCTGCAGAGATAGCTCCTCTGCACAAGGGGGGGAGTAAAGCTTTAGGAAATAATTATAGACCAGTTGCACTAACATCACACACAATAAAAGATTTTGAAAGAGTGATTAGGAATCAGATTTCTAGTTTTATGGAAAATAATGAACTACACAACCCAGGACAACATGGATTTAGAGCAGGAAGATCCTGTCAGTCACAGTTACTTAACCCTCTGTGACAAAATCACAGGAACCGTAGAAGAGAAGCAAAATGTGGATGTTGTATACACAGACTTTGCAAAGGCATTTGTCAAATGTGATCATGGAGTGATGGCCTATAAAATGAGATCAATAGGAATAATGGATAAAGTGGGGCATTGGATTTTCAACTTTGTCAAACAGAATGCAGAGGGTGACAATCAAGCCCAAGTGTAATGAAAAGCTCTGTACCTCGGGGCACAATTCTTGCACCGCTGCTATTTCTCATTCTTATCTCCGATATAGACTAAAATAATAGTCACAGCTTCGTGTCATGCTTTGCAGATTATACGAAAATTAGCATGAAAACTTCCTCTGTAGAAGACACTGAAAAACTACAGGCAGATATTAATAAGGTCTTAGATTGGGCAACTGAAAATAACATGATGTTTAACGGTGACAAGTTCCAGGTACTGTACTTACATGTATGGTGGAAACAAGGAAGTTAAACGAAGCACAGGGTACAGGACACAGACACAATCATAGAAGGAAAGCAACATGTTAAAGATCTGGGAATTATGATGTCTGACAACCTAACATTTAGTGAACATAACCGAGCAAATATAGCTGCGGCGAGGAAAATGATAGGATGGATTATGAGAACGTTCACATCCAGAGTCCCACAGCAATGTTAATACTGTTAAAATTACTGGTGCTCACCTGTCTTGAGTATTGCTCAATACTTGCTTACCCTTTCAGAGTGAGAGAGATCTCTGAATTAAAGGGAATACAGAAAACATATATGGTTCATTGAAACGATAAAAGATCTGAATTATTGGGACTGTCTCAACCCTCTCAAAATGTACTCTTTGGAAAGGAGACAAGAGAGTTATCAAATAATATATACATGGAAGATACTTGAAGTCCAGGTCCCAAATTTGCATAGTAGAATAACAGTGTACTAGAGCAAAAGGTTCGGAAAGAAATGCAGAAAAACCAGTGAAGAGTAGAGATGCCATAGGCACAGTCAGAGAACACCATCTGAACATCAGAGTTCCACATCTGTTCAACACCCTCCCAGCGAGGAGGACAATTAGAAATATTGTTGAAACAAAGGTGGATGTATTCAAGGGGCACTTAGAACCTTATTCAAGGTTCTTGCAAGAACTCGCTATGCTATAATGGATATGTGGGCCTGCGGGCCGCTCCAAGCAACAGCGTGTTGGACCAAGTTATCACAAGTCAAGCCTGGCCTCAGGTCGAGCTTGGGGAGTAGAAGAACTCCCAGAACCCTCTCTGGGTATGCTCCAGGTAAGAAGGCTTCCAGAGGAGTCATTTAGTTGTGGATGCTTGGTTGTTTTGTCCAGTGGCAGTTTTGTGCCGCTATCTTTGGGCCACCGGTTCTGTTTTGGTGGTCTTGTTGTGGGTTGATCCGGTTTCCCTGATTCCCTGTTCTAGGGCTCATATTTCTCAGGTTGTCAGCAGTGTAATTAAAGCTAGCTAGCATGCAGTCTACCCTCGTGCTCATGATGTTGGGAAGTACACCTCTCTGACGGCTGTGTTTAATGGTATATCTTGGGCCGATATTTGTCCACGGGTGTTTTGGAGGTCGAGCAGGATCTTGGCTGCCAGGTATCTTGTTAATGTGTCTGGTCCTCTACAGCTTGATGCAACTTGATTGCTGCAGTGCTGCTGCCTCCCTGGTAAGTGCCCCTTTTTGTCCTTCTCTGTGTGTAGTTTGCTTCGAGTCATCGACAGGGCTCCCCAACAGGAAATCAGTGATGAATATAATGAAATGCCAGTTTCTGGGTGAGCCCCGGAGGCTCCCAGACACCCTCCCTTCTCCAGGTTAGTGGCGTGTTTTATTAAAAAACTGGCATTTGTAGGCCCGGCTGACCTGTGCAGGCCCCCCCCCCCAGCAAGGGGGGGGGGTGGAACAAACTAATGAGTGGCTGGTTTCACAAAATTGGTTTCATTGTTGGGGAGTTCTTTTGACAATTTTTGAATTTCATTACATTCAGCACAGGTTTTTTTTTTCTACCGTTTACCATATTGTTATGGACAAGTAAGACATGTTTTGTAAAAGTGATCTTGAATATATATATTTAATTACAATTGTGCAACCAAGTATCAAGTTGCCCTTTTCAATTTCATAAATAATATTACTAAGAAAATACTGTATTCATTGACATAAATATAGTACCTATTAACTATCTAGTTCACCCATTGAAGACATTTTCTGTAACTGAATTTTGTATGATATTCTTTCAGGTATTTAATGTGCGTGAGGGTCATAGCAGTGGCAGCAGTGTGGGAGTTCAAGTTGTACTGTCATCACAAGCACTCTATGTGGTCACGCCTCGACTCAGAGGAGCGAAACAACGACATGCCGTCTTTTACCATGACATTCACACTATTATTGTAAGTGTTGAGTACTGCATTAAGTTGTATTGAATAATTTTTTACTATCGTCCCATGAGATTTCATTCAGTTCTGCTAATGGATTTCTTTGAGCCATTTAGTATCGTTAGTATTGGTTAATTAGTGTATTTCAGTGGTCACTTCAAAGTATTTTCTTTTCTTTATAGGGTATTTTTTGATTGAATAGTTAGTACAGTAGTAAATTATTAGGGTCTGTTGGCCATTAAAACACTAATATAAGGAGAGATATAAGTGTAACCATTCTTCCATTGTGGTGCTTGTAATTTGTTCCACTCATGTGCTACCAATTAATTGGTCTGTGGTTCTTATTCTCCCTTCTATGCTTTGGTAAATAGCCCTTGCCTTTTAGTAAGAGAGGAAAAGAATGGCAAAAAAAATTCCAAATTCTGCCATCAACTCGGCTAAATGCTAGAATGTGGCACCGCTTCCAAAGCCGCATTAACACCAAGTAAAATACCAGCACTTCCACAAATATGATAACATCATTCTTATTTGCCATTGTATAGGGCATCAAAATATGCAAAACAAAGAAAGTCCACTTAATTGATGGCTTCCTAAATGAGACAAATGCAGTGTTTGCAGCCCTAACTGAAACTCACACAAAAGATTACTATGATAGTGAAGTATGGATACCAGAGTACAATCTATTCAGATGTGAGAGGAAACACAGGCTACAGGGTGGGGTCAGCCTGTACATCACAGACACACTCATTTGCACTGAGCTGCTAAACACCACAAATGATATAGTGGAAGTGTTGATTCTCAAAATAGAAATTCTAAATGTGGTAATTGTCTTTGTATATAAATCACCAGATGCAAATCCTCAACAGTTTATAGACCCACTTACAAAAATAGAACACTGCTTAGAAAACCCTCACAAACCCAGCCCAAACATCATCTTGGTTCGTTCGTGGTTTCAACTTATGGCACCTAAAATGAGAATGTGGCAAATAGTTATAAGAGAGAGAATCCTAGAAAACAGTTTTCGTGAAGTCGCACACAGATAGCCTCTTGCAAATTTGTGACAGATTTGCCTTAAACCAGCAAATAGTAGAACCAACTAGGAAGGAAAATGCCTTAGATCTTATTTTTACAAACAATGATGAACTGATTAGGGACATAATGATTACAAATACCTGTTGCTCAGATCACAACCTAACTGAAGTTCAGATAAGCATGGGCAATAGACTTGTGTGCAGCCAGACTTAAATCCAAGAGGGGGAGAATTTAGTAAATTCAGTTTCAATAACAAATGGATTAACTGGGAACAAATAAACCAAGCACTCAAAAAAACATGTGAAAGACAGCTAGCTAATGTAAACTTAAACCAATGCCTGGAGAAAATAGGCACATTAGCACTAGAAATATGTGCATCACACGCACCACTAAAGAGAAAGAGAAAGATGCAAAATGGAACGAGAAAGGCATTCCCTTTATAGACGATGAAAACAAAATGCAGTACAGTACAACCTCGATTCAACGTACCCCGATTCAACGAATCTCCGGCTAGTTCGCACACTTTTCAGGCCGAATTTACTCACCCGGTTTGACGAACAACGGTTCGCCGAAGCGGGGGATGTTCGGATTTGCTTACGACGTCGCGACAGAGTTCACAGACTGGTGGAAAACTTTTCCATTCCATCACAGATTACAATTAATAATTCCCTCATATGGCAAGCTCATTCATGTAAGTGGACCACACAAGTGGACAGCACATGTGGGCCACAAGCTTACGAAGTTGGGACAGAGTTCACAGAGTGGTGGAAAACTTTGCAATTCCATCAAAGGTTACAGTTAATAATTCCTTAAGGGACCAATAGATAGTTTTTTCAAAGTTGTTCAATGTCAACCAATATTTCTGGGGGGAGCCCCGTCGGCTCCCCGGAGCTATACCAGGCTGATACGCTAATGTCAGACTTTGGCATCAGTCATGTGTATGGAGTTCTTAGGGCCTACCGGGGACCATGGCCAGAACCTGGCCCCCTCAGAGAGGCAAGGGGAGCAATGGTCTATAGAAACCTGTCTCTACCTCCTCATTGTGATGAGGAGGTAGAGACAGGCAATAAATAGGCAAGAGAGAGCTGAGGAGGAAAGTAGGGTGTAGGGGATAGTAGTAATAATGAGAACTGCAGAGGGCCTATTGGCTCTTCGTCCTATCATTTCTTCACGGGGCTCTGTCAGCTATCCTCTTGCCTCCTGGCTCACTAAAACCCTGACACCTTACCTTGGCACTTTTTCCCCTGCCCACCTTCGTCACTCTCAGGACTTCATAGAAAGACTGCGCCTGCAGCCCTTTTGTAAGATGCTTAGTCTTGATGTCGACTCTCTGTTCACTAATGTTCCGCTCGATGACGTTCTCTCTTTCCTTAGACAGAAGGCGTCAGAGGGCCTCCTTCCTCTCCCGCTTCTCACTGACGTTTTCCTCGATCTCATTAGACTCTGTGTTGACTCTAACTCTTTCTCTTTCAATGGTAAATATTACACTCAAACTTTCGGTATCGCTAAGGGTTCCCCTCTCTCCCCTGTTCTTGCTAATTTCTACATGGAATACTTTGAAACTGTTCTTCCTTCTATTGATACTCGTCCCTCTCTCTGGCTTCGCTATGTTGATGACATTTTTGCTTTATGGCCTCATGACCTTAATCTTTTCCAGCCTTTCCTCGCCTCTCTTAACAATCTGGCTCCTTCTATCCATTTCAAAGTTGAGTGGGATTCTAATTCCCTCCTTCCTTTTCTTGATGTTCATGTTCACAGCTCTGTGTCTGGGTTCTCTTTCTCTGTCTACCGTAAACCCATGCATAGTGGCATGTACATTCACTTCTTTTCCTACCATCCTCCTTCTGTTAAGAAAAGTGTCCTCGTCTCTCTCTTCCTCCGCGCTCTACGCATCAGCGACCCTCAGTTTCTTGATTCTGAAATTGCCTTTATCTACAAATCATTCTCTCGTCTTGGTTATCCTTTGCATTTCATCAACTGTGCCTACTCTCAAGCTAAACAAAATTTCTTTCATCCTAAACCTGCTTCCAACACTAGTAGCACTGTACTATGCCTTCCCTTCATATCTGAACTCTAAACTTTTACCAATACCTTTCGTCCTCTTGACATTAAACTCGTCTTTCGACAAACTAACACACTTCGTAGCAATCTAGTTCACACTGCTCCTCCTGCTTCTAATACTGCTGGTGTCTACTCTATTTCCTGTTCATCTTGTCCTCTCCAATACTTTGGCGAAACTGGCCGTACACTGAATGACAGACTTAAAGAACACAAGAGAAGTGTTAAGTCTGCAGACACTAACAATGCTCTCTTCTGCCATGTGAGGGATTCTAATCATCCCATTGATTGGTCTTCCTCCAAAATAATCTTTCCTGCCTCTACTCTACACAGACGCCGTCTTGTAGAATCGGCTCTGATACACAATGTACCCAACATGAACTTGAGTCCTGGCTTTGTTGCTGTGGACTCTTCCCTTTCACAGTATATACTCAAATGCTCTAATCTTTCTAACAAACGTGACTTAACATAAGCTTACCCCTTCCATTTATCTTTCTTTCTCTTTCCTTTTCTTTCTCTCTTCTCCCCTTTTTCTGTTCATTGTCTTCTCCTACGCTCCCTTGCTATCCTCTTCTTATTCCTATTACTACCTCCTCCTCATTCGGTGGTTATAATGGGAGCTGCCTTGTATGGGCCAATAGGCCCTCTGCAGTTCTCATTATTACTACTATCCCCTACACCTTACTTTCCTCCTCAGCTCTCTCTTGCCTATTTATTGCCTGTCTCTACCTCCTCATCACAATCGACTTGAGAATGGTCCAGGACGGACTGAAACGTCACCGTCCCTTCAACTTCTAGTGTGTGTGGTCTGGTCAAAATGTTCAGAGTAAATTGTGATACACAATTTAGCCACAGTAACAGTGGGGAGAAGAAATGATTGCTTTCAAATCTAAAAGTTAAAGACATCCTTCAATGGAGTGTGAGGCTTTACATGTTTTATCACATCAATTGGCATGAGATGTGTGGTTATGTGACGAAAACTAAATTTTCCAAAATTAATTAAAGTTGTTTGTAATTACAGGTTGGAGCTAATGACCAGTGGATATGTATACTCAGTAAAGAGGCTGTAAGAGATGATTTGGAAACGGCAGGAACCAAAGTCGGTATTCAGTTGGAAGTTGGAGATCCCGAAATTACACACAATCTTGTCAACTGCTTAGAAGTTGCCATCCGTCGCCATTTTGCAGCTCTGAAAGTCCATACAAAGGAGAGATATGTTAAATCTTGTTCTGATAAAAGAAGCTATTATCCTGCAAGGAAAGAGTTTCTTCAAGAGTTTACTAAAGAATGTGTAGATAACTTCTCAAATTCACTTTTAGAGGAATCACTACTTAATGCTTGGGATACCAGAAAAAATTCAGCTATTAGTCAAGCAACTGACATAAGTCAAGATTCACCTGTTGCAACTCCAGGATCTGGTCATATTAGTCAAGATTCAGCTGAGGGCAGTCAAGAATCAACAGACGTCAGTGATGTGTCAAATGATATAAGCCCAGCTTCTACTGAAGTTAGTCAAACATCAGTTGATGGAAGTCAAGTATCATCAGATCTTAGTCAAGTGTCTAGTGAGGTCAGCAACGTGTCAACTGATGCCACTCATGAGTCGGTTCATGCCAGCCACGAGTCAGTCGATACTAGTCAGGCAACTTCTGACATGAGTCGGTCATTATCAGACGATACTCCGACATCATCAGACATGATCCAATCTCTATCAAACGTTAGTCAAGAATCTTTAGACGGCGGTCACATACCAGTTGGTGGGAGCGAAGACACCAGTGATACCAGTCAAGTTTCTGGAGACACGGTCACGGACAGTAAGACAACAGATTACGTCTGCCCTCTACAACTTCATATACAAAAGCAGGATATTTTTTATAGATATGCTGGTGGTTATTCCCGTTGGAATGGAACACTATTGGAAAGAAGCCTGCCAGGAGTTGTGGTACACCCAGCCTGGGAATTGGCAGGATTACGCAAGTGGTTAAGAGCTCAACTGCGCATTAAGGTAGGACTCTGAATGTTCTCGTTCAGAGAACAGAGAAAATTCAGGGAATTCCGATAAATTCCCATTTTCTTATATTTTAAAATCTCATTAGTGTCAGTAGAGTTATTGAGCTATTTAACTTTGTTTAAATAGAATAGTAAAAGTATTGCCTCAAATATTTTTCATTCAAGGTGCCAGCTTGATTGTATGTTTGATGAGTGTTTGCATCTGGGAATGTATACATGTTGCAGTGCTATACAGTATTAGACGTGCCTAGTTAACTAGTAACAAGTTTTACTTTTAAACTGAGTGAAAATATTGACATATATATAATTGACATATAATATTGACAATTGGAGGGGCTCTAGCTTCTCCAATATTGGTGAAGAATATCAATTTGAGATTTTTCTCTTCAGATAAAAATTGGAGATAATCTTTAACAGTATACAGGTGAACTTGGCTTAGTGATTACTTAATGCTATTAATATTTGCTCTCATATTCTTTACAATTATAATGTTATTTAAACAACTTAACAAATACTTTAACAAATTAAAAATTCCCACTTATGAGTTTGCGGTGGTATTATTTACAGACACTCGTGGCTCCCCGTTGTTTGTAATTAGGGCCCTGACAGCTGAGGGGAGAGCGCTTCGGATTCCTAGTCCTAAGGTTCCGGGTTCGATCCCCGATGGAAGCGGAAACAAATGGGCAGAGTTTCTTTCACACTGATACCCCTGTTACCTAGCAGTAAATAGGTACCTGGGAGTTAGACAACTGCTATGGGTTGTTTCCTGGGGGTGTGTAACAAAAAGGAGGCCTGGTCTTGGACCGGGCCATGGAGATGCTAATCAGCGAAATCATCTCGAGATAACCTCAAGATAATTACCTAATTACCTAAGTGTAGTTACAGGATGAGTTATGCTTGAGGTGTCCCATCTACCCATCACTCTGTTATATAACACTTTGAAACTATTAACAGTTTTGGCCTCCACCACCTTCTCACTTAACTTGCTCCAACCATCTATCACTCCGTTTGCTAAAGGGAATTTTCTTATTTCTTTGGCAGTTTTGCTTAGTTTAAATCTATGACCTCTTGTTCTTGAAGTTCCAGGTCTCAGGAATTCTTTCTTATCAATTTTTATGTGGGGAGCCCCTTCAGCTCCCTGGAGCTATCGGATTGATAATAGCTATATTAATCTGGGGCTTCAGTCAATGGAGTTCTGCCTACTGGGGACCAGGTGCCAGAACTTGGCCCCCCTCCCCTCAGAGAGGCGTAGGGAACAATGGCGTAAGGAAACCCCACTGTTTTTGAGAGTATTCCATATCTGCCATCGACCGGGGAATAGGCACCCAGAAAGATAGGCATCCCAAAACGAACCCCACTTGCTAGGAAATTGCAAACCCAAGACTGAACAGGGAACCAAAACTCCCCCAAAAGAAATCAGGAAACGAGCAAACGTCATCAACCCTGCGCTTGTCCACGCAGCTCCCGCGCTGGCAGCCCACTTCCCAGGTCATAGAGTGAAGCTGTCTGAAGCTGAAGCAGTTGCTGACTCTGGCCCTCGATTTCCTACCAGGATTTGTGCCCTTGTGGTGTTGCCTGCTGTTTGTGGTGCGGTGGCCAGGAGGAAATTAGTGTACTGGGGGCAACCTTCCCTAAGCACCATGTAAATACTACCCTTGGGTTCTAGGGTTATCTTCCCTGGGGCCTTCAGGACCACACTCTCGTAGTGGTTTCTGCTGCTCGGCATTGACCTTGCCCTTGAGGCCAGCTGGGTAGGCTGTTTGTTTGGTTCTGGGTAGGGAGTAGTGGTGTTGCTGGTTGGGGCACAAAGTGCTGTGCAACTCGCCTACCTAGCAGCGGCTATGTTCTCTGTTCCTCTTGTTGTTGTTGTGCTTTTGCAGGGTTTTTCTTTTTGTTTTCCTACTTGGAGGTCATCTGCCTGGCTTAACTATTCATCTGCCTAGGTTATTTGGGGTGGCCCTCCTCTAGGCACCCGTGCTTGTACACTTCACAGGGATTCAATTTGCCCGGTTCATTCTTTGTTGACATCTTGACATTGTCATTCAGGCTCAACTGGTTTTGCAGCACCATTACCTGGACTTCCCGTAGGGAGCACCCACCTATGGGCCCTGGAAAACCCCGTCGGGGCTTGGTTAACCAACGGATGCGTCCTCCGAGTCCCATCTTGCTTTGTGCGAGTTTGAGGGTGGTTCGTTGCCCTTGTCTCGAGATAGAGGATCACCTGTTTTGCCTCCTCTTTGCTGCCTGTTGGGTTGGTGACACCTTCCACCCGGAGTCTTGCGAGACGTGTTCCCCACTCATGCTCCAGTTTACCCTTTCTTCTTTAAGTTCTTAGGGGGTTAGGCGGCATTCTCGTTGCATAGTAGATATAAGTTGTTGCAACTCGCTAGGTTGGTTGCCCGCTCGGATGCCCCAGGGCTGCCCCATTTTGGTTTTAGGGACCCGGGCCTGGAGGCATTGGTCGCTTCGACCTTGGTTCAGTCCACACCTTCAGATTCTTTCCCGGTGGTCATGGTTTGCCCTGCTCCATCCCCCTTGTTGCCGCCTCCCAAAAGTCTGAAGGTTTCGGAGTCAGGGCAGAGTTTACTTGATGAGACTTGGGCGGCTCCGGGGGCTGCCTCATTCGAGATGGAGGCATTCGAGCCTGATCCTCCTGCCAAGGCTTCTGGGCCTTCCCAATAGGCCCCCCTTCTTTGCTGCCTTTCCCCTGGACTTGGCCTTTTCTTCAGGGTTGGAGGGCTTGGAGGACGGCTCTGCCCTAGGGCTTGATTCAGAGGCTCCCGAGGCTGGCGGGGAGTCAGCCTAGGGTTCTTGGACCTTCCCTTTGATCCTCGTCCTATCTCTTTAATTTAAATAGACTTCCTTTATCCACTTTATCTATTCCCCTCAAGATCTTGTACATAGTTATATCTCTGTCTCTTCTCTCCTCAAAGGTTGTGAGGATGAATTCTCTCATCCTGTTCTCATAGATGAAGCCTTTAAATTCTGATACTAATCTAGTTGCAAACCTCTGAATGTTCTCAAGTTGATGCTTCACAAAGTGTGGGTTCCATGTTGGAGCTGCATACTCGAGTAATGCTCTCACATAGGCAATGTGAATTGACTAGAAAGCCTTCTTGTTTAGATTCTTAAATGATGTTCTTAATTTTGTTAACTTCCCACATGCTGCTGATGTTATTTTGTTCACATGAACTTCTGGTGTTAGTGTTGGGATTATGTCTACTCCCAAGTCTTTCTCTTATTGTTTCTCTTAATTGCCTTCTCTTTATGGTACCGTTAAACATTTATCTCTGTCTTCCTTATCCACGTTCATTACTTTGCACTTATTTTAGATTGGATTTCACTTATTTGGTAGTAGTGGTGGTGTGTCAGGATTAGATATTTCATATTTATTGCTCATCTTCATATGCAGGACTTGTCTTGCCAGTTGTTGCTCTGAAAATAAACATGCGATTTATACTTGACATTCGTACTGAAGTACACATGTAGGATGCCCCACGTGTGTACACACGTAGGGTGCTGTGCTAGTAGGAAAGTATTGGTTTCATGGTAGGGGTATTTTGAGACAAACAGTGGAGTTCAAGACTGGACGATTTAGGCTATCAGTTAACATGTACTGTATGTTGTTGATAACACATTGGTAAATTAGTTTTTCTTATTTTTTTAGGAGTATCCTAAAGTTATTGGTTACTGGCTTGTAGACTGGGAAGATGGAAGCAGCCTGGGAGGAGGGGATTCTGTTTCTGGACCTTTAGGACCAGCCAATGAAGGACCACTAATGTTCAAGCCTCCTGGAATTCTCATGCCATGGAGACCAGCATATTTTATTCTTAAGTGAGTTGGCCAACTTTTCTATTGTTAATTACACTGTGTAACACATTTACTATTTATTTTCTTCCTAGGTAGCCCTAATTGCTTACACCTAATTCACTAGGTGTAAGGCCACCACAGTACAGAAAATGGCTTTTGTTCACTACAAACTTTCCTTTTGTGACTACGTTGGTTTTTTAAGGTCCAGGTAAATACAGTCAACCCAGCCATCGCTTTCCTGTAAGATCTATGTAGCTGTGTTTTAAAAATTAAGTAAATTTGTTATACTGGATCTTCCTATTGAAAGCCATGCTGTCTGTCTGTGTGTGTTAATATGTCATTTCTTTCCAGGTATTCTACCCATCTGGTTTTCTAGTATTTTGACTACCCCACTTATCAAAGATACAGGTCTAATTTAGAGAATCTTCTCTGCAACCATTTTTGTAGATAGGGAAAAAGCCAAATATTTCCTATGTCTGCTAAGATTAAAAATCACTTGAAGTGGAATGCTTAGCCCAAGAGTGCATTCCCTGAGAACCCAAGGTGAGACTTCATATTGGCCAACTGCTTTGTACTTAGCTCCTTGTGCAGTTTTTCTGCTTCATCTATAAAGACTTCCGTGTATAGTGGAACCTAGGTCTACAAATGCCCCAGAGTACAAATTTTTTGGTGTACGATGTCAATTTCATCATAAAATTTGACCCGGTGTACGACGTGTGCTTGGAAGTGAGCATAGGACATATTCATTATGGAAACAGAATGTTTAAATATTTAGGTCGTGTTACAAGCACACTTATATAATATAACCCTTCATCCTGGTGTGGGACTAAATATTTAAGATATATATTTCCAGGTGAATAACCCTTTCAGCAGAAATGAAACGTAATGTTTTGAGTGGAGCAGAGGAGAAGGAGAAAATAGGAAAACTTTCAAAATTAGCATTGTGGCTCAACCTAGGTGCAACGACAGCCACTAATATACCATTCCTTCAGATATAGCATCCACGTCAGCATCCACTCCTTCAATGTCAGCCACTAGTACTGTTCCTTCAGATTAGCATTCACATCAACATACATTCCTGCTGCCAATCATCCAGTTTCAGCAAACATAACATTATTGCCTGCTGGTGACATTTTACAAGAGGGAATACCCTAATCTGTAACAGTAAAGGAGTTTGCAATCCAAGAGACAGATCTGGGGTAATGGAACGTTAATGATACTTACACAGTCAATTACTGAATTCATGGTGGGCCCTCATGTCAGAATCATGATAGTTTCCTTTCAAACTCATGCTGAGTATATAAAGCAGCTGGAGTAGAGAATATGAAGGCAAGATATTTTTCAATGTGTTCAACTGTGAATTGCGGAGTGGCGAGTATGTAAAACGTGAATGGCTAATCTATTCACCACCCTAATGTTGTTTGTACTGCTTTGTATGTCGCCTATTATCCAAGAAAGAAACTCCCTTTGCTACATTGGGGTTCAATGACTGGAAGCACAGCACTGTTACTGTAGAACATAAAAATGGAGAATAACATTGAAAGTGCATGACAGCATATTTGATAAGGCATAAAGAAACGAAGTGTAGTTGACCAGATCACACACTAGAAGGTGAAGGGACGACGTTGTTTCGTTCCATCCTGGACCATTCTCGAGTCGATTCTCAAGTCGATTCAATCGACTTGAGAATGGTCCAGGACTGACCGAAACGTCGTCGTCCCTTCACCTTCTAGTGTATGGTCTGGTCAACATAGTTTAGCCACGTTATTGTGACTCATCGCCTGCAAACGAAGTGTAAATTCTATATTACTTGAGCAGCATCATTCACAGCAGGGATATTGGCATAAAGTGTTAACACATGTAGTTTCTGTAATTTGCTTTCTTGCCTCTAGAAGTTTGCCATTTCATGGAGAAAATCAGATTATTGGGTCAGCAAAAAATAGTAACTATTTAGGTGTACTAGAACTGCTGAGTAAATTTGACCCTCTTAGGAGCCAGTCGGCCGAGCGGACAGCATGCTGGACTTGTGATCCTGTGGTCCCGGGTTCGATCCCGGGCGCCGGCGAGAAACAATGGGCAGAGTTTCTTTCACCCTATGCCCCTGTTACCTAGCAGTAAAATAGGTACCTGGGTGTTAGTCAGCTGTCACGGGCTGCTTCCTGGGGGTGGAGGCCTGGTCGAGGACCGGGCTGCGGGGACACTAAAGCCCCAAAATCATCTCAAGAAGATAATCTCAAGATAACCTCTTGGAAGAACATCTCAAAATGTATGAAAATCCTTGAAAAGGAAATTGTCATATTTATCTACAAATATTTGTGTGGAATTTGTGGATTTAATGGGACAACAGATTCTTTGTACTATTCTTAAAGCAGTAAAAGATAAAGTATTATTCAATAAGTGTAGATTCCACTTCCATCAATTCACACACAGATCAACTGACATTTACTGTCTGATACATTTAAGGCTGTCACCCGCCCAATGCCCAGTCAAACAGCTGTGAGCCTGTGGAACTTTTGTGATGTTGTGATGTTCATCCCCATCTTTTCTCATGGAGCAAAGGATCTAAGTCATGGATTTTCTTAACGAGAACAAAATTCCACTATCAAACTGCTGTGGTCAGTCATGCTAGAAAGAATGACGAAAACAAGCAAAGTGTATCTTGTGTGTCTATGAAAACCTATCTTCAGAAAAGTATGTTGCATGTTTTGGAAAGTATGGAAATCTGTTTTCTTTCTTTCTTTCTTCAATGAATTGAAAGCCATTGCTTCTGATGCACTAAAGAAAATATGTAAACATCTGGCTAATATGTATCACAAAGACCTGACTTATGATGACTTTTAAATGAATGTGATCATCTCAAGCACTACACAGTTTTGATGAAAATTGTGAGACTCTCCCTGCACTGTACAGAAAAAATAATTTCAGACAATTTGAAATCTGTTTTTCTGAATGTTGAAATTGCACTCAGTTTTCATGTGTATGATGATTAACTGTACAGGAGGACGTTCTTTCTGTGGGGAGCCCCTCCGGCTCCCTGGAGCTATCCGACTGATATGCAATATATTAGTCTAGGGCATTAGTCAGTGAAGTTCAACCTACCAGAGACCACGAGCCAGAACCTGGCCCCCTCAGAAAGCCAAAGGACCAAATGGCCTCTGGAAAACTGGTGCCTCCTCTGGAGCCATCTTTGTCTGGTCGGCATGGTGCGCGCTCTGCTCACAAGTCGGTTTATTGCTTTTTTTTATTTTTGTTAATTTTGTTTACATTTTTTTCCCTCTTGAAAGGGGCACTGGTCTCTATGCAGGTCGCCCCGTTGGCAGGGCACTCTGTTTGCTCATGCTTGGTCCCACAATTCGTGGGTGGTTTGGGTCGTGTCCTCCAGCCTGGTGGCATTGGGTGGGTACTTAACCTATACCTATTATAGGTATAGGTTAAGTAATAATTGTAATTACGAAGCAATAAGATGCTTATATTAACATATTAAGAAGGTTAGGTAAGGTCGGTGTTTTCTATGAAGCTTTTCAAGGTAAACTAGTATGTTTAGTATGTCACATATGCACATATTTAATAAGTCAATATTGACTATACGAAAGTGCGAGAACGGGTTACATGCATGGATCCTGTTTCCTTGGTCCCCTCTTCCAAGGCTCGTTTTTCTCAGGTTGTCCGCAGTGTCATGAAGCCGAGCCAGCCTGCACTCTACCCATGTGCTCATGGCATCTTGAAATGTGCTACTCTTTCAGCTGTTTTCTGTGGGGAGCCCCTACGGCTCCCTGGAGCTTATCGGGCTAATGTATGTTATGTTAGACCGGGACATTAGCTAAGGAGTTCAGACCTACCAGGGACCAGCGCCAGAACCTGGCCCCTTCAGAGAGGTTTCAGGGAGCAATGGCCCTGGAAAACCCCATATGGTTGGGGGTTTTCCTTATCTGCCATCGACCGGGGTTAGGCACCCAGAAAGGTAGGCGTAACAAAACAAACCCCACATGGTAAGAAACTACAACAAAAACCGAACAGAGAGGTAGAAAACTCCCTACAATCCCAAGGAAACAAGCAAACAAGCAAACATCACACTTTACTGCCGCGCCGATCGTCCGCGCAGCCCTCCCCACCCCGGGAGGGGGAGGGGGGAGCCCCGGACCTACCGCGCCGGCTGCCAAGCTCCAGTTCGTTCGCTAATGTCAACCGGGATTGACGCTTCTCTGGCCTCAGTTTCCTAGGCGGTGTTTGCCTTGTGTGGCGTTCACTGCCGTGTGTTGTGGTGTGCGGTGGCCAGGAGTACTTCATCAGTGCCGGGGCTGCATGTGCTTAGTGGCTGACTTCCCTAAGCGCCCTGTGAGTACTGCCCTTGCGTAACAGGGTTATCTTCCCTGGGGCGTTCGGGAACCATTCCCGTAGAGGTTCTTGCTGCTCGGCATTTGCCTCGCCCTTGGGGCCCTTGTTTGGCCCTGGGTAGGGATTGGTATTGTGCTGGTTAGGGCGTCAAGGTGTTGCGCAGCCTGCCACCTAAGCGGCGGCCGGTTTCTGTTGCCTCTGGAGACGGTGTACTTTTGCGGGGTTTTTCTTTTGTTTTTTATTTTCTTGCCTGGTGGGGTCTGCCTAAGGTGGTTATAGTTCCACTGGTAGTGTTTGGCGGCCCTCTGCTAGGCCCCCGTGCTTGTACACGTCTCAGGGGTTTTCAGTGCTATAATCTACCCTCTTGTTATGTTTGGGTTTCTTAACCGGTTAGCACCACCTTGCCCGGGCTTCCCGTAGTTGTTACCCTACGGGCCCTGGAAACCCCTGTCTGGGCTCGGGGGACCATTGAATGTGTCTTCCGGGTTCCAACCCGTTTAAGATATATATTTCCAGGTGAATAACCCTTTCAGCAGAAATGAAACGTAATGTTTTGAGTGGAGCAGAGGAGAAGGAGAAAATAGGAAAACTTTCAAATTAGCATTGTGGCTCAACCTAGGTGCAACGACAGCCACTAATATACCATTCCTTCAGATATAGCATCCACGTCAGCATCCACTCCTTCAATG